ATTGTGAAGGAGTAGAGGTAAGGAAACATAGATCCTATGTCTGCCAAAACAAAGTATTTGAGGCTGCAAAAATTGGATGATGTCTTTTTTTTAACAAAACTAGTTTTCATACTCCAGTAAGGGTACAGAACTTGTGACTACTTGAAAGTTATAATACAGGTCAGTTCATAATTACAATGATTTCATTTTTTTCAGCACCATCAGCAAGTCCTTCTCCACCCTGTTCCAAATGACTCTTGGAAACTTCTACTACTATGAGCTGAGGGAGGCAGCCCCCATCCTCGGCCCCATCTACTTCATCACGTTCACTTGCATAATCTTCCTGGTGCTGATGAACATCGCCATGGCGATCATCGACAGCTCCCTTCCCGATGTGCGGAACCACATCATGTCTGAGGAGGACCAGTACTTCATCCAGGGGTTGTGGGAACGCTTCACGGCCTTCTTCGGCTTCTGGAAGGTGCCAGTCACAGGTAGCGTAGTCCTTTAACAGGTAGACAGTACAACTAACTGAGAATTCTATGATTCAGCTCCCTACGTATTTGTAAGCTCTGTCTGCGTTGCAAAGAATTTTCAGTACAAGATGTGGAACTGCGAAATGAGCCCAGGATCTTTGCTCCATCACTTAGGTGTAATGCACATACAACAGGATGGGCATTAGTAAGGGCCAACGATAGTTCCTGTACTGTCTATAGAACCACCCTAGCTGAATCCCTTTTTGTTTCCTCTTCCCCAGCTGTGTTTCACTTTTTCCTTTCTTTATTCAAAACAATCGTTTTCCCTTAATTTATATGTAGTGTAATATAAACATAATACTATGCTCTATATCTAATTGCATCATGTCATTATGATTATAGTGATTGTCATCATACATATTTCTCAGTTAGAGGGAGGCCTTGGATGTTTTTCTTATCAGCATTGTTTTAAACTGATTTCTGTTATGTGTAAGTAAAGAAAACTGACTGAAGCTTTTCCTTTGACTCAGAAAACGACTCCTTTGACACTCTTCATGACAGCCTGGTCGAGGTGGAGATTAAAGTGGAGAAACTGTGGCTGCAGAGGCAGTTCCTCTTCAACCTCAAGTAAGTACAAAAATGGTACTTGAGCATGATCTATGCACTTTAATAGTGATCTTCCAGGCACAGTAATAAACTTTAAATTTAAAGCTATTTTAGAAATAGCTCTAAGTTTGAAGTTTACAGATATTTGTTGAACATCAACACTCAACACACAAGATTTTTTAGAAACATGAACAGTTGAAATAGGCTTGAAACTTGATAGTGATATTTGTCGAAGATAAACACTGTACAAACTTCTTTCCACCTGTATCCTCACAGGATGAAGGACGCAGACCTCCCCACAGAGCCTGAGTTTGTTCCGACTGTCCCCGGTGCTACAGCAGTGGAACTTCATGTCCCCAAAGGAGGCTGCCGCATCATCGCGGTCCGTCCTGCATCCCCAAACAACTGCACAGATGACAGCAGTCAAGCGATCGGCTCCAACACCAAGGCGCCAGTTGTGGTTGCATCCGGGTCTCTGCCAAAAGACACCCAGGAAAGCCACCAAACCAAGCAAGCCATGAAAATAATGTCCGACCTATCCAAGGGGGGCAAGAAGTCGACCAAGAGAGTCCAAATTGATCTGAACCTGAATCGTGTTTTTCACTATTATTACTATAAGGAGTGTGAAGTGGGGAGGCCAATTGTCAACTTGAGCGCTGGTGACAAGGCGGTTCTTACAAACAACGAGATGCTGACAGACGACCTCATCCAGGCTGCCCAAAGGCTGCTCCACCACCAGTACCCGGCACTCCAAGGCCTGGAAGCCCCTACAGTTGGTCTCTGCGAGTACGAGTTTGCCAAGATGACAGGAAAGGGGCTACAAATCCACCACAACAGAAGAGCACACTGGGTTCTGTCCTCTTACACAGACGGACAGGTGCGCCTGTATGACAGCCTCGGCACCGACATGACCACATATCTGCAGGTCCAGCTTTACCAGACCTACACCGCGTTTGCCGACCAAGAGAGAAACGTCCTGACCATCATCCTACCAGAGGTACAGCGTCAGAAGAATGCCGTTGATTGTGGGCTGTTTGCCATCGCCTGGGCAGTGGACATCGCACAGGGGCGAGACGTGAGCAGCATTGCGTATGACGACAGAAAGATGAGGGGCCATTTGGTGAAGTGCTTCGAACAAGGGAGGCTCACACGGTTTCCTCATCTGACCAGCCAGAGAAAGAAAGTCGGTCTAACCAGGGTCAGCAGAATCTCGCTGGTTTGCCGCTGCAAGCAGGAGGAGGGTCTGGGAAGGATTGAGGCGTGCAGGGCATGTCAGAGGATCTTTCACGTCAGCTGCCTGCCAGTCAACCCTCCCAGTGATGACACATGGGAATGTGGAGACTGTGCCGTGTAAAGTACAAAGTGCACCGTAAAAACTACTGAACAAATGGAGCCAAGAAAAAACTGTTTATCTCCTTGCAGAAGGAAAAAAAACAATAATGGAAACATTTCGTGGTTGTCTTTGGAATTATGGCAAAATGTGATCACACCACAATAATTATTATGGATATTTATGTTTACCTTCGCAGAAGGAAAACATTGTTATGGCTTCACCACACCACGAAGTTTACACATAAGACATGCGTCATAGTAATTTATTTATCCTGGCTTTGAAGTACATTGTCAGGAACTTTGTTGTCTCTACAGTTCACAGATACTGGAATGCTTTGATCATGTCATGGCTGTGTTACTACATGTACTTGTGTTACAATTCATGTGTAATATGTGACACTGTTTAAAACATCTGTAAATAGCAAGAATTTTCAGGACTTCTAAAGCATTTAAAATGACAGAAAGAATACTGTCATGGCTTGGCTAAAGGAACGTTGACAATGGGTACAGGATCATGGACGATGGACAATGGATGCATCACTAAATATTCACTTTGTTGCACCTTAGCCATGACTAAATAACAAAGAACATGTCACTTGTGTCACTTTCATCATCATCCTCGCCACATTTAATGCTTAGCACTGAGGCGATCCGTAATTTTTGATAGTATTTTATTAGGGTTTGATTACTATAAAATGCCAACTGCTTGTAAAATATTGCTTGTGCTTCATTTCTGTACCACCTTGTCCAGCGATTGTATCTGATGTACATTATAAAAGCTGGTAGAAACAGAAGATGTGTGCTTATGTCTAGTATAAGTATCTAGATGTTGTGCTTGGCAATGCTCTACTCTGGAGTGACCACTTTCTTCGTGTGTCAAAGAACCTATCTCAAACAATTGGATGATAATGAAGTGTTTGAGACCATACTTGAACAGACAAGACCTACTGACAATATACAATACATTGTTTCTCCCCCCACATCCTATATTGCAGCACTGTTTGGGACCAGGGAGGTAAGGGGCATATAGACAAACTACAGAAGCTACAAAATAGAGCGGGAAGGGTAGTACTAAGTTGCGACCGCTACACTCCCAGTGCAACTGTTCTGAACCTGTCAGGCTAGACCTCGGTAGCACAACACCACAAACGTGCCAAGGCTATCTTTATGTTTAAGGCACTAAATGGAATGTCACTGCCACACATTTCTCAACTATTCACAACATCGATCTGCCAGTACCCACACACACAACACCTGACTTAGCACACAGGGGGGACTTCAGCTGCCAAAAGCTCGCTTGCAGTACAAAAAAAGATCGCTTTCTTTTTCCGGTGCAGTCCTCTGGAACTCACTTCCTCCTCACGTCAGAAATGTAAAAACTCTCTGTGTCTTTAAGACCACCTTTTCATTACTCTGCAGTTAATGATTTCTTTGTTACCTCCATTAAAAATGGAGGTATTGTTTTTGGCGTGTCTGTCTGTGTGTTTATGTGTCTGTCTGTCTCTGTGTGTGTTTGTGTTTCCGCACATTTGTAGTCAACATTATAACGCCTTTATGGATTATGATGATACTTGGTATGTTGGTAAGTCTTAGGAAGACGAAGGTCAAGGTCAAATATGGGCCTCCTGGTGGATGACCTTGGTTCTGAAGCAGAACTTCCGGTTTTTGTATCTTTTGTCCTGAACATGCTATGGTCTTGTATTTTTGGTGACAGATAGATCTTCCTGTCAGGAATAAGTGGTGTGGGTTTTGTCCCCCTAGCAGCTTGTTCTGGAATTGCAGGGGACCTTCGGGCGAAATCTTTGAAAGCCAATAAGTCCAGATAGGAACAACGTATTTTCATCACTTTATTTGCATAATCAATTAGGAAATTCTATAATAACAGTGTTTTACATTAGAGTACTTCCATACATGTAATGTATGTAACCTATGGCAGAGCATCAACAGATATTATTTTTGCAAATGATGACCTAATTTGCATAATTAATGCGAAAATTATATGATTTCTTAATGGTAAATGATGGGAATGTCATACTTGGGACATCTGTAAGTTAAACAAAAGTTAACACCACGATGCATATATATGTTAATGCAGAGGCCATTTGCGTAATTAAAGAAGAAATTTACATGTACATATCAAGCCCATATTTCATGGAGGTATGAGATCTCGAAACTCTTGTTACTACATGTATATGTATTTGCATTTAATAATCGATATCCATCTAAGCCACTGGCAGTTTGAATGGTTAACCCTTATTTATAGTACTTTCATACATGTAATGTATGTAATCTATGGCAGATGGAACATCAACAGATACCAATTATGCAAATGATGACCTAATTTGCATAATTAATGCGAAAATTCTATGACTCCTTAGTGGTAAAAGATGGGAATTTCATACTAGGTACATTTGTAAGTTAATCAAAAGTTAACATCACGATGCATTTATTATGTTAATGTGGAGGTAATTTACATAATTGAAGAAGAAATTTACATTTACATGTCAAGCCCATATTTCATGGAGGTATGAGATCTCGGAACTCTTGTTCATGGAGGTAATAAGCCGAAGCGTAAACCTCTTCTGTCAGGTATAATGCTGTCTGTTTTGAACAGGGTTGGCCAAGTCACAGCGATCTCTACTGCGTGTGAGTACGGCAATGTCAGATGCGTGAACAACGCCACTATGATGTTTGATCAGTGGATTAACACCAACAACAATAGGTAAGTACCGTAAGATGTACTCTGTTTCGCTAATTTCTAATGTTTGATAGCCATTTCTCATCCTATGTGACTTATGAATACTTTGCTTAAATGGTGCCGTGTATGTGGATGGCGTTCAGCACCAAGGAGAGCGCTGTTCGCCAGTAAACAGTCCGGACAACGTGTCAGATGTCAGATGCTCGTGCACAGGTGTTTTTCACGATAGTACAGTCTCCTACTTGTCTGTCACCTGTGCGCGTTTCCGTCTTGTATACAATCGATGCCAACTGAAAGGGTCGAGGCCAGCCTTGTATGGTCCATTGGGGCGTATACGTCGATGAAGGTTAGACACCACCTACAACACAACCAGGGTCACTCTTTCAAACTCGAGTCCACGGATATCTTAGACCGCGAAACACGCTGGTGGGAACGGGGTGTTAAAGAGGCAATATATGAAAGAATGTACAACCCCACCCTCAACAGGGAAGGGGGGCTACGAGTCGATCTTTCCGGCACTTGGGATTTGGCACTCCCAGCCCCGAGGACAGACCACACTTAAGCTCCTGTTCTGTATAACAGGAGCTTTCAGACTAATTTGCATCATTTTGTCTTGACTTGTCTGACTTTTGCTCCTTTTTCGACTTCCAAAAATTTGTCTTCACTTTATTTGCATATCAATCAACAGGTTGTACTTATAAACCTGCTTTCCCCTCTGGTCTCTCAGTCACTGACGAAAGCTAGTGGATACTAGCTGAAACGTCTGACGTTTTCAAAATCATATCCAGTTGCTTGAGTAACTGTTTTTTGGCGCATTGGGGCGTATGATAACTTTTTTGAGGGGCGAAATCATTTCTATCGTATAAAAAGCAACGTTTCTATTGCAAATCAACAGCATGGTGAAAAATAAAGCTATAAGTGAAAAAAAAAACGACACAAGGTTGGAAACAAACTCGGGTCTAATTCCAAAATCCTAATCCTCTACGCCACGAAACATCAGGCTTAACAATGCGTTCTGATACACGTAAAGTTTGTCGTTCTGCGAGATGGCATCGAACGTTTTAACACAGCACTTACTTTCACCTGAGCGAAGTGAGGAAAGTCGTGTAAAGTGCCTTAAAAGAATGTCATGTCGGGACTCGAACACGAGACCTCTTGATTCCGAGTCGAGCACTCTGCCGCTACGCTAGTGACCCCACGTCTGTAACTGACGTTGGTCGTATTCTTACATTTCTTTGCAGTCACATCCCTGAGAGGCTGAAGTCCACGGTGTACTGCACGGCCATTAAACATGGCGGCAGTCGGGAGTGGGATTTCGCCTGGCAGCAGTACTTGACAGCCGGAGCCTCTGAACAGACTCTCCTGCTGCCTGCCCTGGCCTGTACTCAGGACACCGATATATTACAAACGTACGTATTATGTCTAATAATGTTAAATGTGATATCTTTGACGGATCCGGAATTACGTGTGGTTTATTTGCAACATAGATTACAAAATGCTTTGTTTACTCTCACAGCAGAATCATATCACTTTAACGAAAAACCGATAAGCGAAAATTTTCCCGGGCAGGAATGGTATCCCATACTATATTAGTATACTATACTACACAAAAGCTGCACATCTTTTAGTTACTGTAACAATTAATATGTTGCATGTAGTAGTAATAGATGCATGCATAAAGTGTAACAAGCTCCTTTTGCGACCTTGTCTCTAGACAAAGAATCTAGGAGTTCGAATCCCGGCTGTTGTCACTCACCTGACATGCACCCTACTGGAAAGGGTCGCAGATCTGAGGATAGGACGTTAAACCGTGATCCACTGTTCATTGTTCTGGTTGAAAAGAGAAATTCCGCGAACCTGTGAATACAGTACATAGCATCTGTTTTCTCTGTCACAATCAGTTGGAGATTAGCTCTTCATCGAGCTAAAACTGAATCGAGAACACTTTCTTTTACTTTCCTTTTCATTCTAGGTTCTTGGAGAGAAGTAAGGACGACGGCCTGGTGAGGAAACACTCCGCCCCGCTGGTGGTGAGGTACGTCGGGGGGAACAGTGTCGGCAAGTCGGTGGCCTGGAGCTTCCTCAGGGACAACTGGGACTTCTACTTCGACAAGTGAGAAGAGTACAAGTGTCACTAAGGCCACACCGCCTTAATTTTATGGATGACATCCGTGCGCACATTGATTTTCGCCTGTTCCAAAAAAAAAGAAAAGAAAAAAAAAAAAGATATGTCCACCGAGGCTCTGGCATCGCTCTAGGCCTGAATAGTCCATAGTACTGGTAGATAGCGACAATACGGAGCCGGGCACCCAGGCTACCGAAGCTCCACGACTCGAGAACTTAGTACATACGTACAGTGCCGATTCGTAAACTCCGCGAAAAGCCAGCATGTGCCGGCTTAAGCTTGTCGTATACATCGCTAAGTACTGTCGCAAATTCAAAATAGCAGCTTTATATTTCTGTAGTAACATTTTTATTTTTGGCTGAATTTTTTTTTTATTTGCCCGCGCGCACTAGTTTAGGCCGGGGGTCTTCAGAGGATGTCATCCATAAAAGAAAGTCGGTGTGGCCTGTAATACAGTTACATATTGGATCTGCCTTTTGTACTAGCCGTGTGCCAACCCCGGTTTGAATAAAGCGACGGTCACAACCCGCCGTACGTGCTTTTTCTCCGTACGTTTTTTGGGAGGCTACGTCTGCTACGTTTTTTCTGAAAACGTGGGGAAGGAGTGGCGTCTACGCACGTCACTCGCACGTCACTCGCACGGTTGCACAAAGTTTAAGAGTGTGGTCTGCACGCCAAGTCTGGCCGTGAGCGGTTGCGTGCATCGTACGTTGCGCAAGTGGTAAGTGAGTTGTACGTGCTTACAACGTACGATCTCCGTACGATTGCAACTTTACCGTTAGGAGGCCGTACTCACACGTGCGTCTTTCGTACGGTACGTATACGGGGCACGCGTGTCGCCCGTACTCGCACGCACGCACGGGTGGTGAATCCGCAGACCGCACGTAAAAAAACTTTTACATGCACTTGAAGTTCTACGGCGTGTCTGCGTGCTCCCAAATCCGTAGGATTCCGTACGGAGGCGTTACTCACCACGCACGGATGCCTTGCGTTTGACCACGTTTTTGCACGTAGACAGCACGCAGAAAGCACGTACGTCGGGTTGTGACCGTAGCTTAAGCTTTCTAGCTCTTCATCGGGCTTGTAGTAGTTCTCAGCCGCCCAGCTCAACTAGGCTCCCCGGTAGAAGTTTTGCACAAAGGGGAGTTGATTGGCGAGTACTGGGTTTCCCTCAACTTCCGTCGTGCAAAACTCCTACCGGTAGCCTAGTTGGCCTGGGCGGCGGGAAACTACTACAAGACCGAAGAGAGCTTATCCAAACTGCGGTAGGTTGGGCACCAGGCTACCCTTTGTACCCTAGTATGCCAGTATATGCATCTCTCGCCCTCGATCTCTTTATTCTGTAATCGACTGTCCAGAGCGAAGCACTTCAAACTTTATAGATTATGAGCCCAAAGCGTCTTTCTGGGCGCAAGAACTATCTACCACCAAAAAATCGTTTCCGCAGCCTGACTTGCCACGACTTTTAAAAACCGAAAGTTCCACTGTAGTACATTGACAAAATCTAATCATTTCGAGGTCTCATCAACACCTACCCACATACCAAATATTGAGACAATTCATTTAAGCCTCATCGATTTAGGCCACAGCAAGTAATTTTTGTGGATGACATCATGCGCGCATAAATTTTCGGATGATTTTGGAAAAAAAAAAGAAATTTTGTTGCCTTCTGACAGTGGTCAACATGCCGAAAATGGGCAAAGATGTCTGCTGCCATGCCGGAAGGTGGATGACAGATAACTACGAAGAGAGGAGACAAGAAAAGACTCTGAATAAATGTTTTGTTTCTTACTGTGATGCAGTGACATGTGATGCTGGCTGTGTATATGTGATGTTCCCACTGAATAAAAACCATTTGTGCCATGTTTGAGTCAAAATTTTAAAATGTTGGAACCTTGTTTTTTTTTGGCCCGCCTTTTTTTTCGCCCGCTCGCATTAGATTTGGAGTCTGTGGAGGATGACGTCATCCATAAAATTTACTTGACGTATGGTGTTCGTAGACAGAGGGACAGACACGAAGCGGCTACCGAAAACATAAATTTCAGTTCTTCTCGAAGGTAATTAACATCACATCAATGGAGGTCCCGTGTTTGGGAGAGCCACACCCACGCACGTTAAAGAACCCACCACACTTATCGAAATGAGTAGGGGACCTTCCCGATGTGAGTGGTTCAAACCTTACAGTCTGGTCTCAGGTTTGACATCTTTGAAAAGGTGATAGCCACCTGTTATGTCAATCCTTCCACAAATGTGGTAAGTCGTCATAAATTTCCAACAAGTTGAGTTCTCATGGCATGTTCTGATGGAGGGAAGGTTTACTAGGTTTGATGTAATGACATGTAGCTATGACGACCAAGCCTTCACGATGACGGGTGTTGTGGAGGACGTCACCAGGCAGTTCAGCACACAGGAGGATCTGGAGCAGGTGAGACAACCACTGATAATTTCAAGACATTTATCATGCGACTTTTCTCTATATTTATTTGTATTTATGTTTATTTATCTTTTTGTTGTACTAAGGCCATGTTGATTTGATTATATGGATGACATCCGCGCGCGCATGAATTATTCGGCCGTTTCCAAAAAAAAGTTTTCAACCATACTGTAAATCGTACAAAACAGCCGCAAAATGAGCAAATATAAACCGTAAGTTGCAAAAAAAATATTCAAAAACGGTACCAATGTCGTAGAATGCTAAAATCAGACGAAAAGAAAAAAATGTAAAGAAATGAATTTGAAGAGTAGATTATTCGCTGTGTCCTTCATGACCACGTAGATTTCATAATGAAAACAACTTTTTTTTTAGCCAAACTTTTTTTATTCGCACGCTCGCATCAGTTTTGGGGTTCCCAGAAGATGTCTTCCATATAATCAAATCAACATGGCCTTAGTCACGCTTCATGGAGAAAGAGAGGTTAGCTATAGATTCTATAAAAGAGTGTTATGATTCGAAGACAAATATTAGTGTGGATCATCGATCTGACTCAATCTTGAACTTTTGACATTGGAAAATGGACAGTGCAAGAAAAGTTCGATATATATATTTACTATTTGAACTGTGATTTTTCGACTGTTCAACTACGACCGTATTTGTCAAGGAATGATTAACCCACCGCTTCTGTGATGTCAGATGACACAGGTGACTCTGGAAGCAGTGGATCATAGGTTGCAGAAGTCTGTGGCATCTCCCGTCTTTGTTGAGAGATGGTTGCAATGTCTTGATGTAGATGACCTCTTGCAAAACATCTGATTCGTTAATTCCGTGTCCAAGATTGTCCAATGGGACCAATCCAGTCGTTTCTTTATGGATGTGATGTGAAAATTTTGAAGATAGGAATTGATGTTCTGTTCTCCAGCTGGAGACATTCCTGGCGGCCCATCCTAATCAGGGCACGGCTACCCAGGCCTTCTCCCAGGCCGTAGGGAACACACAGGCCAACATACGGTGGCGCCGGAACAACGAGGACAAGCTCCGGGCGTGGCTACAGACACAGGGCTGAGTGGGAGATGGAAGCGGTGTAGTGAAGCATCTTCGTCATAGTTTGATTTGCTTGAAATTTGTTGTTGTTTCTACTTTTCCGCCATGCATATTAGGCCTCGTTGGTTTGATTATATGAATGACATCGGCGCGTGCATGTACTTTCGTCTTTTTCCAAAGAAAAGTTTTCGACCATACTGTACAAAGCAGCTGCAAAATGGGCAAATATACACCGTAAATTGCAAACAAAAATATTGGAAAACGATACTTATGTCGTAGAATGCCGATATTAATTCCAAAGGAAAAGAACATGTGAAGAAATGAAAATGAAGTCATTATTCGCCATGGTTCCCAGCGGATGCCATCCATATACTCAACTCAACATGGCCTCGCGAGCCATTTTACTGCAGGAAGAATGTCAGAATGGGCACTAAGACGTAAGCTTCTCAGAACTCAGACTAGGTACCTGAAAGTACATGTATGTTGCATACTCTTCATATTATTAGCCCAACAATACTGATGCAAGCTTTCAGTCAATTGTTTGTTTGTTCAAAATAGAACTACTAGAAACACAGAAAAATATACTTCCCATGGCCGAACCATACCCATAGCTGGAGGTAAGATATATTGTAATGTACTTTAGATGATGAGCTTGGTTATGAACTTGACGAATATTTAGATAGATGCGAAGTGGCTAGTTTTCAATCTCATGGCACAAAAAAGGGCAGAAAACAAAATGAAGAGCTTTAAATCTGCCAGAAAAGTCTGTCCAATGTTACCACTGCACTATACAAGTGTTGTTGTCATATTACACGTAATCAGGGCTGGAAATATATTACTGAAATCTTAGTGAAGTTGCTGACCCTGTCCTTGGTACTGAACACTGATCACACACAGTCCCACTGAAAACAACCTTAGGAAAGAACACTTTTGGAATCAGATAAACCCATTTCGGATATGTTTTGTCTTGATTTATTCTGTATAACGTTAAAGCTAGGAGCAGTCATCTGCTTATGCCATTATCTTGTAAACATCGCGCAGAAAGGGGTTCCATTCAGCAAGGATGAAAAGCTTCTTGCCTTCAGCGATACAGCCCACGTAGAAGGTCTGTCCTGACGTTTTCATTCGACTCCCATCACAACACTCAACAGTCAAGTAAGTACAAAGTTTGTATTTATACATGTATAGAAAGTTACTTCTATCATATGTAACACAATTGTCCGAGAATACAAAACGTAACCACGACAATATTCAGGTCTGTGACAGTCAATCAAATCATCATATCACTGACCATTGAGTGTTAACTAAGAATTAGAATTGAAATTGAAAAGCAGATAATACTGTGGCAAAACATTATCCATTGGTTAGAGCAAGGAGGTTTTAGTGGTCAGAGGATTGTCCATTTGCCACTAGGTTGGCCAATGCATACTGTGTGGCAAATGGTTACTGCCTGGTCAGTTTGATACCGTCTTTTGCGAACAACACCGAAACATCTGCTTGGATATAGGAAATGCGACCCACAAAAAAAAAACACTGAAGTGATGATTCATTTTATACCAAAGTTCTACATCCAAAAAAGTCTGTAGCGTTACGTTTGTTGTACATGTCCCGGAAGCTATTTTTATGTTTACCGAAGGAAAACATATTGTTTTGCTCCGTTTCTTCCTCTTCTTCTTCTCCAAACAGTGACCTATGACCTGACCGATGAAATGATTTGTTGACATTTATCACCATGGTGACTGGTGTTGGGTTGCATAATGTTGCAAATTTCATGGTCTGCTCTGCTCCTGTCACCATATACTAGTAGTACATGTATGTGAATTAACAGAGCTGACCATGTCCAAAGGTAAACATTATGCATTTGCTTTGCCAATGTTACTTCTCTAGTTGTAACACTATTTTTGTTCCTTTCTCAATTGCCTCTTGACCAATTGCCAGAAGGGGTTGGGTGCATCATCGCTGCATGCGTCATGTCCGCAGCACTTCTTGTGCCCGACAGTCCAGTGTTGTCTCTGACAGTCTCGGCTGCAGTACCGGGTCAGCTTACACCGGCCACACAGCTTCAGGGTACCGGTGGACCTGGAGAGGAGCGCAGCAGTTAAACACGAGCTAATCTGGACTACAGAAATGAATTCCCAAACGTTTTTTCGACTGCATTTTGTATTTAATTGAAGGCTACATACGGAGCTATTCAGATGGACAAGATAACAATTCCAAAGCAAACACACACACACACATACACACACACATACACACATATACACACACAGACACACATACACACACAAACACACACACACACACACACATACACACACACATCGAAAACAATACCCCCATACCCGGGCGTAGCAAAACCCACCTGTAGCCCGGTTTGCCACATGTAGGGTTGCAGCATCGCAACAGCTTGGTCTCTACCGCCTCTTGTAGCATCTTCATCATCTCTTTACGTTCACAGTCGTAGTCTTCTCTGTCTTCGTTCAATTCATCTTCAGTGCAGCACCTAAGTTTAGCAGTAGTACATGTAGTAGTATTTCATCATTGATTGAAAGTATGTACATATCTATTACAGTCTGACCTATTTCAGGCCAAAGGTTTCAAAACAAAAACCTGTGTTATTTTGTTCTGTACTGTAGTGTACTGTGTAAAAACATTTACAAAAACTAATATATTTCATGGAGGTATGAGATCTCCGAATTCTTTTTTGTAACTGCAATTAGCCCTCGGGCATGTATTTGCTATAAACTTTCATTATCAAATGGCGTGACACTTACTCCTTGGCTGTCAAGCCATAAACGTCCGTCAAGTCAGGTCGAGCCCCGAGCTCGATCAGACGTTCAACCGTGTCTACTTTATAACAGATACAGGCCATCATGAGTGGGGTCTTCTGGTACGCGTCCCGGATGTCTAATGTTGCACCATGTTGTACCAGCAACTCCACCACTTCTGTATGTCCTGGGTTGGATCATAGTGCGGCATAAGAATACAAACATCAAGCAACGTTCCAATATATGGCGCTCGTTCGCAATTCAATAGGTAATACAGACAATTCTATTGTGCGAGGCCCCACCGACTTAATTTTATGGATGACATCCGCGCATTGATTTTCGCCTGTTCTAAAAAAAAAGATCACGTCAACGTAGTACTACCCAGGTTCTGGCCTGGCTCTATGCCTGGGTAATCCATGGTAGTTAACGACAATACGGAGCCGGGCTATCGAAGCTCCACGACTCAAGTCGGTACATATACATACAGTGCCGATTCATAAATTCCGCAAAAAGCCGGCCGGCTTGTCGTATACGTCGCTATGTACTGCCGCAAATTCACAATACCAGCTTTGTAATCCTGTGGTTTGGTAGCATTTTTATTTTTGGCCGTATTTTTTTCTTATTCACCCCCAAATTTGGGGGTCTTCCTAGGATGTCATCCATAAAATTAAGTCGGTGTGGCCTAAAATAGAGGGTAATATGTACATGCACAAAGCAAATGCTTTATGTTCGCCTTCACGTGTTGTGTCCTAACAAACTACTGCTCTGTTTGTTTTCATTCAAATAACACTCAGCACCTCAGCTTCTCCGATGAAGAAGAAGAACTTCGGAAGGTCTCCAGTGCCCTTATGCAGAACGTAGGGTGGTGCCCATCTCCATTTCCGTAGCCCTTGGGCGACACACAGTTGTGCAAGGCACTACAGCAGGGGGCTAGTCCCCTGGTAGTGCTGTGTGTTTGACCTTCCCACACTCTTTCTCATGTGTGCTGAGTGCTGAGCAGAGAAAGAAGTGTGTACCATTTTTAAAGTCTTTGGTATGACCCGGCCGGGGTTTGAACTCACGACCTCCCGGTTACAAAGCGGGATCTCCAATTCGCATCGGGCCATCCCTCTCATTAAGATACATTCATACATACATACATACATACATACATACATACATACATACATACAAACATACATACATACATACATACATACATACATACATACATACATACATATATATGTATATGCTGACACCAGCGACTCTAACTTTGCCCTGCAACTTGCTACATAATGTGATCCAAACACCATTATGTTGCAATAGCTAAGATTGTCACTGGGAGAAGAACATGATCTACTGATATAATTCATGCAAATGGGGATCTTATTTGCCTAATCAATTAGATCAATTCGCAAAGGTTAACATCATTTGGCGACGGTATAAGTCATTGAACTCTTGTTATGTTTACCGAAGGAAAACATGTTGTTTTTGCTCCGTTTCTTCTTCTTCTTCTTCTCCAAACAGTGACCTATGACCTGACCAATGACATGATTTGTTGATGTCTGTCACCATGGTGACTGGTGTTGGGCTACATTACGTTGCAATTTCATGGTCTGCTCTGCTCTTGTCACCACATACTAGTAGTACATGTATGAGAATTAACAGAGCAGACCAGACCGAAGGTGAACATTATGCATTTGCTTTGCAAATGTTACTTCTCAAGTTTTTATTTTATTTTATTTTTTTTTATCGCCGGCCTACCTCGGGTTACCGGTGCAATAGCTCAATTGGTAGAGTGCTCGCTTTGTAACCGGGAGGTCGTGAGTTCAAACCCCGGCCGGGTCATACCAAAGACTTTAAAAATGGTACACACTTCTTTCTCTGCTTAGCACTCAGCACATATGAGAAAAAGTGTGGGGATGTCAAACACACAGCACTACCAGCGGACCAGCCCCCTGCTGTAGTGCATTGTACAACTGTGTGTCGCCCAAGGGCTACAGAAATGGATATGGGCACCACCCTACGCTCTGCATAAGAAGCATGGGAGACCTTTCCTTTTTTCCTACCTCGGGCAGCTGCGACATGAAGGGGAGCAGATGATGTCTCACTGGATCTCTTCGTTAAAGACGCCCCCTTGCGGATCAGCAGCCTCACTACAGCGGCATGTCCCGCGAAGCAAGCGAAGAACAGAGCTGTTCTACCGCTGACATTGATGTCGTCGCCTTCCCGGGCGTAGTCAATGTCTGCACCTGCGTTTGGTGATTACAGTTAGTTAAAGTCAAACACGAGACAGTCAATTTAGGCCATGTTGATTTGATTATATGGATGACATCCTCCGGGATCCCCAAAACTGATGCGCGCGTGCGAATAAAAAAAAACTTTGCAAAAAAAAAGAGTTCTTTTCATTATGAAATCTACGTGGTCATGAGGGTTGAACAAATGGCACAGAATATGGTTTGGCGAATAATCTAGTCTTCAAGTTCATTTCTTTACATACAATTTCGTCTTTTTCGTTTGATTTTGGCATTCTACGACATTGGTATAGTTTTTACTTATTTTCTTTGTAACTTACGGTATATTTTTTGTTCATTTTACTAACTGTTTTATTACGATTTACTAGTATGGTTAAAAACTTTTTTTT